ATGATCGAATTTTGATGGAGACAAATATTTAAAATTTTGATCATTCATAAACCTTTCCTGGGGTCCCTAGATGTCCCAAAAAAATTTGGGCCCGATCGGTTCAGCCGTTTTGACGTTTATTGGATACAAACAGACAGACAGACAAACAAACAAACAAACAGTCAGACAAGCCAAATATTAACTATATATAGAAAGGCGTCGAAAAACAATCAAGAACTGTTGTTTGTAACATCTGAATAACCTGTTTGGAATTAAATTGATTATTTTACGATCCAAGTTGAATGTTGCAACTTTCTGAATTTATATGGACACTATGTTCTTCAGCATGAGTCGTTTTTAACAATTTTCTCCATAGACGCAACAGATAGAAGTAAGATTAGTGGTGATCAAATTCAAAAGCGCACATTTTTCGCCATAGGCCTACGCACCCCCTTTCATTTTTCGCGAACACTCCCTTTAAACTTTAACACAAGTTTATACAAACCTCCTGTATTACACAGACACAATTAGATGTACTGCAAATGCTCATTTCTGCATGACTACATAGCGGAGGCTCATGGCGTCCAGGGGTCCCCTCCCTCTTCAGACACATAGCCTTACGTTATAAAATATTCAGCAGTATTTCAAAGAACCAAGATGCCAATAAATCTGGTTCTTTGAGATTATGACTGTACCAAGCCTTTGCAGTCACATTCCAATGCATTCTATTTAGGAATTCATGCAAGAGAGCAACTTTAGGAATGCTGTTAATGATCCAAGCTCCCCATGGCCCTATGGAGACTTTAACAAAATAGCTAGCAGTGGATCAGTTAAAATTATCGAGATAAAACGAGGCTCAAATAAAACCTACATCTGCAGTACTACAGATATAGAGGTAAGCGCAGTCATTGGTGAAATTCCTCCATATTTAACCAATGAGAGCTTTAATATGAAAATTTTCAACCAATCAAAAGCCAAGCTACTGCAAGATTGGACTGAATTGCCAAAAAAGTGAGCAAATATGGAGGAGAGAGAGGGTTGATATTGGCATGGAGAATATCAAAATAGGGGGTTTAGGGGCCCAACAATCCATTTCTCAAGGAAAAAATACATTTTTTCCTTTTTTGACAAAAAAACCCATAGTTTTGAAAATTAAAATGATTTCATGGATATTTTGGTACCCATACTTAAATAATTATAAGGCCCTCAAGTAATGAATTAAATTTGAAAATATTTTGTATTCAACGTTTATTTTGAATTAAATTAAATTTAATTTAAATGGAAAAAATGACCAGTGATTCTTTCTATTCTTACAACTGGATCAAAAGCACACAGAAGCCTTCTCAAAAGGTCTCTGTTGTTAACCTGTCTGCTGGTTTTCAATATGCTTATCTCTCAACATTCTGAAATTCCTGTGTTACTTCAGAGAGAATTTCTGTAGGAAGACATCCTTACCACTTGATTGATTTGTACAAGAATTTTATGTCCAGCTTGGGCCGCTTGGGCCGTATATTGTTAAAACTATAATTGTTTACAAGTAGGTCTAGAGTTTCCCCAACCATAATTGTCAAGCCACTGTGATTTAGTTTCCTCAGTTCTGTAATATCATCATAACTTCTTCCTGCTCCACCTGAGATTGGTACAGGGTGTCCCACGAAACATGACAGTTGGTAAATAGTGCTGAATGTCGTCTTCTATACAGTGTTATACAGTATTATAAATTAAAGGCTGTTTACAGTTTATTTCATTTAAAAAATATTTTGCTCGAATATATTTTACTTTGAAATTCATTTTACGGTAATATGACTCCTTTATGCACTGGACTATTCATTGAAACAAAACAGAAAACTGGATCATCTTTTTTGATGTACTGTGCCCTGCCTGCACCCAATTTTATTACATACTTCCTGCAAGGGAGGGAAGGCAACCTCCCCCACACAGCTTCCAAACCTCATTTTACCTGTTTGCGGCAGTGCACGTCCCGATAGGGATTCCTAACTTCCCATTACCAGTCTTCTGGGAATGATCTTCCATTTCTAAACGTCAATTTCTACCTAAAACCGGACTAATTTGATTATTTAAGCGTGGTAGTATCTATAGTATCCCTGTTTGTACATTTTCTTTCTATTTATTGAGATATTTAAAGAAAACAAAACTCGGTCTTAAACAAATGATTTTAAAACTATTATTTTCACAAGTACTACAGATTTGGAATATATACATATATAGATCAAAAGATAATTACATTTTCTTTGATTTGAGCCTGGTGGAAATTGCCTATTTCCTTGTTTAATGCATTATTGTGCAGGAAAACTAAATCTATAAAAAAACAGGTAGGAGTTGCAAGGTAACCAATCAAACTGAAACGGTGAACTGAAACGGGATATGATTCAAAATCTTAAAAGTTTAGGTTTTTCCAGTCCAAACTTTGATAGTAAAAAAGAAATAAAAATATTATAAAAATGTGAAGGATACTACAGTTGGACTACCATGCTTATATAATGAAAATACTCCCATTTTAAGTAGAAATTGACGATTATAACGTAAGATCATCCCCGGAAGACTGTTGGGGGCGGTTTGGAAGCTCTATGGGGATGCGCACTGCCGAAAATAGGTAAAAAAATGGGTTCGGAAGCTGTGCGTGGGAGGTTGCCTTCCCTCTCTCTTCCTGCACTGACATTTTAGGCAGTTGAAAGGGCGTACAAAGCTGAAAACCCTTCTCCGGAGTCTAAATTCCCAGGATGGTGTGCTACTGATACAAATAGCTTTGGCAAAATATTAGAAATGGGTCTCTGCGAAGAGAATTGTTTATCCGAAGATACTGGGATCAATTTTGCTACCGTGAACCTTTTAACTGTAGACGAGTGTGAGTATCTCTTCAAGGTGAGTCAAATCAAGGAAATTATTAAAGGACCCCTCCTATTTTTTTAGAAATCAAGTTTGTCTAATTTTCTAATCAACTGATTTTTCCCTATCTTTGTAACAGAAAGTTCTTTGTTATTTAAAACTAGGAATTCTGCTAGCTTATAAAATTTTGGATGCTGATTCCAGAATTGGTTTGATAACAGAATTAATTTTAGGATATTGATAACAGATATAATTTGGTATATTGTTAACAGAATTGATTTTACGTTATTGATAACAGAATCAAATTTAGGATATTGATAACAGAATTAATTTTAGGTTATTNGATAACAGATTTAAATTTAGGATATTGATAACAGAATTCATTTTAGGTTATTGATAACAGAATTCATTTTAGGAAATTGATAACAGAATTCATTTAAGGATATTGATAACATAATTCCTTTAAGGATATTTATAACAGAATTAATTTTAGAATATTGATAACAGAATTAATTTTATGATATTGATAACAGAATTAATGTTATGATATTGATAACATAATTCCTTTAAGGATATTTATAACAGAATTAATTTTAGGATATTGATAACAGAATTAATTTTATGATATTGTTAACAGAATTAATTTTAGAATGTTGATAACTCTCGTTTGGACTTTAAACCCGAGCTAGAACTTTGTGGTGGTAAAAAGACGTTACTTCCCCCTGTTCAAAATGAGTTTATCAGAATAAGGTGATTCAACAATCTTTATTAAAAAGAAAAAAGAATTCAATATTTTAAAACTATTTTAAAAACAAATTAAAATTATGCGTGAAATAAAAACAAAAGTTTTTATTGAAAACAAAACAAGAAATAAAAGGGTACAGCTACAGGCGCGTAGTGGAGTTGGAGATTTAGCCTAGGTGGGTGCACTTTTGGCACGCGTTAGCTCGCCGAAATTGTTTTTCGTGCACCCCCTAAAAAACCGGTATTTAGAAAAAAATAAAGTTTAAAATCTATCTGAAGGCTGACTATACAATAAGCATTAGACACAGCTATTGCGCAGTGTAAACAGACCCATTTCACTTAATAAGTGATTTAATAAATAACTAGTAAAGCTTTTTGGTTTGTTATAACATCAAATGCACTTCATAATGCTTTAATGTCGTCTTCCTATTCTACAGTTTTCTGGTTATCACTGTACAGTTTAACTTAGAACTTCGGAGTTATAGAAAGAATTTATTAAATGTCGTCTTGACAATTATTCAATGGGTTTTATCCTATTATACAGGGTGTCCCAATGACGAATTCGATATCGTCTTTTTAAATAATTCTTTGATTTAGTATAGTGATACCAACTGAAAAAGCTGTAATCTGTAAGAGTTTCGTCTGCTATGTTCACATTTTGTTTTTTTATGTTTTGACTGCATACGGTTGTACTTAGTAAAAGAAGAAAATTACAGTATACAAACAGAGTAAACTTTTCCGTCTTCACTGTTCATCTTGCGGAGACATTATAGACTCATTTTTACAGCCATTTACTCTTTTTATAAAATAAACTCTAGCAGACATAATAATATTATGGCTTTTGAAATTAGGTATTACAATGCTAATTCATAACAAAGACAATATCCAATTCGTCACTGAATTCCCATGTTTTTTGGGACACCCTGTATCTTAATCTCCTAAATTGTAAAAATAAATAAATATCCTATAAAGAGCTAATTCCGTTAATTAGTCAATTAAAAAACTAAATATGTCCGTTGTCCAGCATTCCATTATCAGTAGGTTTGTGAAACGACATTTTATAAATCATTTCGGTGTCTCCTAAGCTCTGGGTTAAACTGTATTTACTGATGATATGTGTTTTTTTAAGTATTACATAATGCTTTTCCATTTTTATTTATTTAGTTTTTAATTTTTTTGATAAAGAGTTCTTTGTTATACTTCAAAAAAAACGTATGGAATAAAAAATTAGCTTTTACACTAGAGTCTTTAATTTGTTCAACTACATAATTTACCACATATTTTACCAAAATAAATATTTAATGCAGAAGGTAGTGGTGTAGAGGACGGACAGCTGGTCAGTGTTTCAAAAAATAAATATCGCATAGACTACAGATCTCAAATTTACTATTTTAAAAGCTCTTGAAATGCATGTACGTTGATTGTTAGTATTTGTCAAAAAGAAAAAGAAATTTCTCAAATAATTTTCTGGCATATTTGTTTTACTTAAACCTCCCTGGCACTATTTAAAAAACTTAGGTGGAGGGAGGGTGTTGTCCACTGGGTTGTTTTTTGTAGTGTTAGAGGATTTTGAGAGCTTAAAATTTTTAAATCCATCAAGTTTATCAAATCCTTTATTAAAAAACGAAAGTATTAATTATCTTTTTGTCATCTTTAAATATTTGGGGTTTTGAAAAATTATTGAATTAAAATTCATTTAAAGTTTGAAATCTTTTTTAACAAAACTTCTTTTCTTGAGAGCTTATTAAAAAAATAAACATTAGGATATGTACAGTTTACAGTGTACAGTTTACAGTGTACAGTTTACCGTGTACTGTGTACAGTGTAAGTTTACAGTGTACAGTTTACAGTGTACAGTTTACAGTGTTCACAAAGAAAATTAATGTTTAGGAAGGGTAAAGAGGAACAAGATCTAGATAATCAACTCTTAAAGAAGATTGGTGATAAAGATTCCAAGTTAATAAAACCTTCTAAGAACAAATTTCTGTACCAAGGCCCGAAACGGGATCTTGCAGGCCTTGAAGAAGATTATCCTTACAACTGGTATCTGGGAGGTATCACACTTTTTAAATTAGTCATGTTGTCTCGCGGCAACCTTGGCGCTTCGCACCCATAATTCAAGTAAAATTGAGAACCTCTTAAATTCATCTTTTTCTCTCGATAAACTGAATAATTTTGAAGATTTTCTTGTTTTTATATTTGTAGACTGTAAACACAAAGGAAAATTTTAAATATTTCAAATAATTTCAAGCAAAGTGTATTTTTATTGGAATTTCCTATCTTGCCCATATTGTATAATGTCTTAAATCAATTTTTGATTGCATTCCATTTCGCAGAGAATCCGCAAATGAAAATAAACAGTTTAAAGAAACCGTATCAATGTAAATTGTAAAATCTATACTTGAGAAGATTCACTAACCTCAGCCTATAAATATAACCTATAATTGGTTTGGGAAAAAAACATCGCCAAAATCCAAGAAATTGACTCAAATAGAATCCCTTTTACCTTACTATAGTAAAGCTAACGCTCTCCTGGATTAAAAATTGTTAATTTTTAGGACGAGATACTTGCCAGGGGGATTCAGGGGGTCCAATTGTGAGAAATGTTCCGGTAAATTTTAATATTTACTTGTTTAATATTTATATTTATATTTATATTTCTTTATCTTATCGATTACTATGTTTAAAAACTATCTGAACATTTAAGTTTAATGAAATTAGTTTAAAAAGATGGACACAATGCAACATGACGCTGGAATTTATAAATAATTGATTGATTGATTGATAGGCGAACGGTAGGGTTCGAGCAACGCAGTTAGGAGTTGTATCCCGTGGTGCCGGTTGTGCTAGTTTTAATGCACCTGGAGTATACACAAGGTTAATATCAAATCTAAATTTTTCAAAATTAGTGAAAAATATGAGATTAATTTAAAAGTTACCCATTTTAATATACAAACTAAACCCAGTGGAAAATTAGGTGGGGGGGACGTCCCCCTTCCTGGAAAATTGTGGTGACTCCCCCCCCCCTGTAAAAATTAGGGGTGCAGTCAGGGGCCCTTAATTTAAGATTTTCAAGAATAGATTCACACAAAAACTGTGTCTCCGGAAATTGGAATGTAGTAAATAAAAGATTGACTGTAATAAATATTGGGTAAACATGATATCTTGTTAACCTGAAGGACGCTTTAAAATTATTTTATGTAAAACCCATTATCATTGAAACTGCGTTTCAATTGAATGCCCAACATGATTAGCTTAAATCATGTGATATATATATAATGACATACATCTTAATTGCGACTATTTTACTCGTGCTGCAATATAAAACATGATTGTCTAAATCATGGATATAGATAACAGCGTAGCAATTGTAATAATGTCTATTAACTTTAACTTGTAACATAAAAACCTCAAATACATCAGTTGATAAAGAAACTCGGCTTTGATTACTGTATAGAGTAATAGAGTCTTCGTTGAAACATAAGGGCTGAGATCCTATCCAGGCATTTGGTACAGATCAAATATGAGCTTGTTTGATAGCTACACTTGTGTCCCTGTGTGGCATTTAGAGCTCAGTGTGGATCGTGTCCTGTTTAAGACATTGATCAATTAATTGCTAGTGTCCGTATTGACATCGATAGCTAACAAGATCGCACCCACTGATAGGTTCTTTGATGGTGCACGGGATTGTAGCCGTGTGAATCATGTCCTGATTGAGATATTGATCAATTGATTGCTAGTGTCAGTATTGACACCGAAGCTAACGAGATCCTGCCCAATGGTAATGGTGCTGATAGTTCACGGGGTTGTAGCCATGTGGATTGTGTCCTGTTTGAGACATTGATCAATTTATTGCTAGTGTTCGTATAGACACCGATAGCTAAAAACATCACGCCCAGTGGTAGTGGCGTTAATAGGTCACAGAATTGTATCTGTGTGGTTCCCTGTTTTGATAAATAGGTTGAAGATTGTGCCCTTTAATTTGGCATAGATAGTCATGAGATAGTTAAGTAAAACTGAACTGTACCTGGATAGATATGTGTTAGAGAAACCGTTCTGGAGTAGGGTATTTACTACATGACTACATTTGAAAGTCAATGAAATATTGACTACATTTGAATGCCCCAAATTGAATCAGAAATTTATAACAATTGCACAGGGTGTCCCAATAAACATGGGAATTCAGTGACAAATTCGATATTGTTTTTTAAAATAATTCTTTGATTTAGTAGTGTGATTCCTACTGAGAAAGCTGTAATCTGTAAGAGTTTCATCACATTTTGTTTGTTTATGTTTTGACTGCATACGGTTGTACTTTGTACAAGAAGAAAATTGCAGTATACAAACAGAGTAAACTTGTCCGTCTTCACTGTTCATCCTGTGGAGACATTATAGACACATCTTTGCAGTCTTTTACCCTTTTTATAAAATAAACTCTAGCAGACATAATAATAGTATGGCTTTTGAAATTAGGTATTACAATGCTAATTCATAACAAAGAAGATATCGAATTCGTTACTGAATATCTTGATAATTAGTTCTAAATTTAATCCAATGGTTAACAGTTTGAGTGAAATACCTTAAGTAAGTGAATTCACACTGGCTTTACGGTCCTTTGTATGAGGCATTTTTAAGCATTTGCTTCTTAAAGACGCAGCAGATGGAAGTAAAATTGTTTAATTAAAAATAAATGGAAATAATATTAATCACATATGCGTAATTACGTGCAGTTACGCGTAATAATTTTCATTTCGTGTAATTTCGCAGGATTACACGTAATTGGGGAAATATTCATTTCCCGAAATTACGGCGTAATATCGCGTAATTGCTACAACGTAATTTCGTTAAATTTCGTAATGATTACGCGTAATAAGCGAAACTATAATTACGCGTAATTACGGCCTAATTTCGCGAAATTTTGTATTAATTACGCGTAATTAGCAAAACTTCAATTTCTACAAAGTAATTTTGCGAAATTTTGCAATAATTACGTCTATGAAATTTTGAAGTTTTAACTTTTAATTTAAATAAAACAACTAACTTACAAGGAAAATAATGTCACGCAAGTTGAATCAGAAATTTCAGCCAATACTTTGTTGATATAATTTTCACGTTCGACAAATTCTGAGAATTAATATGTACTTTATTTATTACGGAATTGTTTCGTATTACGTAATTTCGCGTAATTACGCCTTAATTACGCGAAACTAGTCTTTCTTTCGTAAACGTAATAAATGCGTAATTACGCATAATGTTACTGCGTAAGTGAAAGAAAGTGTTACGCGTAATTACGTGTAACGTAATTACGACTGGAAAACCCTACAGGTTATCCGTCAAAAACGGTTTCATAAGTTAACAGAAAGTTTTTTTTTTAACTTTGGAAGATCTTTGAGTGGTAAAATTTTGGATTTCATCAAAAATCTACCCTACCCGCCTACTCTTCTCCTTCTAGTTTTCAAATGATAAATACCAATCAAAAATTTTCTTCATTTTAATTTTGAAAAAAATTTAATTTTTAACTGTTTAGAGTTGTCAGTATATATGACTGGCTGAAGAAAACTATTTCTGAGAATTCTGGTGGAACTAAAATGTGTTTTAAATAAACTATCTACCTCTGTAAAATCTAATATCCAATTCTTGAGGACTGAGGACTGATGACTGATTATGATGTACAAATAAAATTTAAAATACATTTTCTACGTGAAACAAACGAAACAACGAAGAATATCCTGAAATATTTTGATTTCTAATTTAACATACTTTGTAAATAGTGTAAGAGACCAAATATACTTTAATGTTCAAAATGTCCCAGCTGACCCAGGAAAGATTTTGGTAGTGAAGATTTTAGTAGATCTTTGAATTTTCAACCAAGTATTTGGTAACCTGGGTGATCGTACAGGGTTACCCACAAAGACAACCCTAAACTCTAAACATATGACGATTTGAAGTTTAATTTTTTGTTTCTAGATTTAATTTAGTATTTTGATGGTTTACTAATTGAATAAGCACACGAATAAACCAGGTTTGGCCTACAAGGAAACTTGAATGCAAGATAACAGACTAAAAAATCTGTACAATCTCTCTCTTAAGTCTCATCCTTTATGGCCGGGTAACCCTGAAACTGATTTGTTCTAAACTATTATTAGGCATCTCTTACACATAAAACTAATTGTTAATAAAACCTACTTTTTCAAATTTATTATCAAACTTATTCAATTAACAGTGATCACTAACCTAAGTTCAGTCAGGTTTGTACTCAACAGCACTATCTGGTTTATATGAAGTTCTAACTTAATATTTGCTCTAAATTCATTAAGAGTTAAAATGAATTTAGAGAAAATATCAATTTAATAATAATAATAATGTGAATTTTCCATTTCAACATTTGCATTTTAACATCTGTGCTTAATAGTTTTCCCGTTTCAATTTCATTAAAAATCATATTTTTAAATTTATTTTAGCTCAAAAATGTACTATTGTGTTTTCAAGGTTTCGTGAATTTAACTAGTTTCAGATTTCATTAATTTTTTAATTTCTTAAGGAACTATTTAATTTTCCTAACTTTTAAACGGGAAAAAATGTGCTAAAAATGGCATCAATAAAACACATTTTGCAAAAAAATGTTTAATTTTTGTTTAAATTTGCACCTTGGTTCAGGGAACTTTCTCAGGAGGTTCCTAAAATAGGAACCTTTTTTAACAATTTATTTTTAATTTGAAAATTTAATTTTAAAAGAGCAGTGAATTTTTTTCTCTCCGACCGTTGATTTTTTTTTATCTGATCATACATCTGTTTTCTGTTCTTCTCTTTTAGATCTACGCATTCTATCCTCTTGTAGACAAGAATTCTCAGAAACTAATTAGCAATATTTCAGACGTGACATGTATTTACAAGTTCACTGGTAGAGAATATACAGCTGTGCAATAAATTTGTACAATAATTTATTTCAGTGTAAAAAGAAATGGTGCTTCATATGTTCCACAATCACTACGAAACTCACTTTCCCAGCCGTAGCCCTACTCCTATACAAGGGTTTCATTTTGAGGTATTGCCCCGTAACATTCTGAGTTTCCGGAGTTTCCCGAAAGCCTTACGAAACTCAAACCCAGACTTAAGAGAGCTAACCCGGTTTCGTGGCCAGGTTTGGTTTGGGATACCCGGTAAATTTCTTTTAAGTTTTGCCCTCTGGGAAAATTGCAGTATGGTGTACAGTGTGTACAGTACATGTTTATGTTTAAAATCAAGTTTCCTGTGTATTCATCCTTCTCCAGGGTTCTACAAATACAGAAAGGGGGCCGAAATATTCTGTTCAATTTCTTCTATGAAATGTACAGCTTGTACAACATTGGGGGACAGGAAGATTGAAAATGAACATTTTCAAAGTGAGTTCAAGAAATTGTAACATACAGTTTGGTAAAATACATTTGTGGATAAACATATATTTTAGAATAGTACATTACAAAGAACAATAAAGTTAGAAACAATTTGTCTGCATTAGTTGCTCTGCAGTAATGTGTTCTGGAACATGCACAATCAGTTCTTCTTCATTTTAAGATGCAAAAATGGGTTTTGCCATTAGATCTGCTTCAACAATTTGGAGTTTTTGTTTCTTTTCAGCTTGGAGGTGAGACGCTCTAGTCAGCATTTCTTCATGGGTGGCATTCTGATCTTTACATATTTTATGCAAAGCAGAAGGACAAAATTTTCTTTTGTTGGAAGCTTTATGATCAAGGAATTCTGAATACCTGTATGTAGCTCTTGCTTGATTTTGCTGCTTTTTCAATTCCACTAGAATATCGGGTACTAATAAAATGTTGCCAACATTGGCAGACAATATTGGCTTGATGAACTCCAGTTCTTTAGGGTGAAAGTACTGGAATGCCTTTTCAGTGGTGTCATGAACTGATCTGTAATAAAGTTTAATTACATCTTGCATATCTCCAAGTGTACAATAACATAAGTTCATTGTTTGATAGCAGCTTTAGATTTGGCAATTGGTTTTTCAGCAGTTGGATTACTGGCGAAAACTTGCAATGCAATTCAGAACCCTGATTCTCCAGATCTTTTATGTGACATGTTATTATAACATAATCATGGAGGTTCACACCTAGCAGTCTGTAATATTCTTCAGGAACAGAATATTTTACAGGGATATTTGTGCATACAACCAATTGGTAAGGATAACCAGGTAAGAAATTAATGCTATGTTAATTACAGCTTTGGAGAAATAAGTTTAAATATCCTGGAATATGTGGCTTAGCCCACCTGTTGGATCCATTCTGAACTTCAGATTGAATTTGGTGCAAACCTCCTGTGAAGAAGTAGGTTAGACAGGAGAGGTCAAGAGGGATACATGGAAATCCAGCTATTGCTAGTAAGGTGTTGAGGTCATAGTGTTTAATGCTTATGACAACTTTGTAATTGGTGAAATTGTAACATGAACTAATAAATACAGCTAGCTCTGATATCTTGAAATGTAGATCAATGACTACAGCTGTACCTTGCAGCTTTTGAAAACATTCTGTGCCAAATATCATGCAACAGTTTTCTAACAGATAGGGTATTAATCCCAGGTTTTGTTTTCCAGGGCATAATATTATCCCATCTTTTATCCAGAAGAGTAAGACAGATTCAAGCTGGAAGTTTCAGCTTTTTAAAAAGGACCAAAATAAACGTACTGTATCTATATTGAAATCTAAAATACAACATGGGTTTTAAATCATTACAAATATATTTGGTTTGGGTTCAAGAGCTTCTGGACTGGAAGATGATATTCATAGGTCTCCACAAGAGCTCCTTTATTATTAATGTAGAAACTTTCTGAACAAATTGTGCAGCATGCTTGCACCTTGAAGAATTGATTTATAACTGACTAAGATTTGACAAATGAGCGTTTTTAATCATCATTTTTATACAACTCATGTATAAAACTACATGTTGTCTTATCACTGGACTTTCTGAAACTGGCAGTCGAAACCCCGCTCGACCTGCCCCACAACCATGTCACGTGATTATCTCTCCCTGAAAAGGAATTCCGACGGAGCTCCTCTTTTGGAGAATTCACCACAAACGGAGGGAATGAGGAGGATTCTCCACAAGAGGAGGAAATGAGGAGGATTCTCCATTTTCGGAGGATAAAAGGAGTCCTCCTCTTGAGGAGGAGAAGAGGAGAGCGGAGTAGGTTTTCTTGCTGGGGAGTTATGATCAATACAGATTACATGGTTTATTGATTGTTTTATTTGCAGAGTGGTTGAACCGTGATGATCCCGTGGACAGGGTGGATAGGGACGTTCCAGGGATTGTCTAGTTTATCATGGACAAGTTGGGGTTGGAGGCTAATGATTCTGACGTTCTCAAGCTTATATTGGAGACCTGTGCAGTCACCCTGGGTGAAGCTGCGGTCACTCTGGCCGGAGTTTATGCCCTTTGGAGGATTTGGAATTACCTCAGGGCAGGCTGCAACAATGAGAGTTCTACTGACAGGGCCTTTTTGCTTCTGAGGCATATGCGCCATGAAGGTTTTAACTGGGCAGGACAGTTCAACTCCCTGGCTGTAGCTATACCCACCTTCCAGGACCTACTCAGGAGGGCTCCAGGGTTTAGGACATTCTTTGGTCAGCCTGAGGAGTCTGAAGAGGAGAATAGCAGCATGTATTCCTCTGAAACTGGATCCTTCAGACCAGATTATGCAGGGTTTGAGGAGCCAGTCTACGCTACGCTGCAGTCCGTTCCAACAAGACCGGATCTTCGAGATGATCCCATTAGTGTTCCAGGATCAGAGGTTAAAACAGCTCCAGCTGTTCCTGTCAGGGCTCCAGGATCGGAGGTAAGAGCTGCTCCTATGGATCCTCTCAGGCCTCCTCCTTTCGTTCCTATGCCTCCAGCTGCTGCTCTGCCTCCTGCTGTTAACCCCAAGGTTATTGTTCAACCTAATATTGAAATCTCTCTGGAGCCTACTGGGCCTGAGCCTCCGGAGATTGCCGAGGATGGTTCAGATCAGGAGCTGCTGCTCTCCCTAGGAGCTTAGCTGAGCAGATCAACATGGGGCATTTGAAGCTCCGCTCTTCAACCAGAAAGTAATTGCCTCATGCTCCCTATAGACAGCTGATAAATTGTATTTTGGCTGTTGATTGCTATTTGATTTGTATTCCAGCTATTAAGCTATAAAGTTATTTTTGCTCAGAGCTGATTTTTTTTTGGCTGAGTTTGTTTTGAGCTGTCAATTTTTCTGGCTGAAGTCTATTTGTTTATTCTTTACCTTGCTGCTTTGTTTTATTTTGTATACAGCAAATAAACCTGATATGCTGCTTAGTTTATTTCTTTTGATTTAGAATAAATAAGAGTGAAAATATTTATAGGATTTAAAATTTAATAATGTAAGGTTTAATGTTGTACAAATGTACATACTTCCCGGATTTAAAAAATTACATGGAAATTATGGAATTGTTCATAAAACATTATGAGAATCTGAGTTTGTTTGTTAAAATTCTGACTATTTGATGAAACGTGGTAAAAAAGGGAGTGGTTCTGAAAACTAAAGCTACATGCTTTGTTAAAAATACTCTGCCTAGCAACACAAATAGTCAAGTTAAAACATCATTTAGAATAAACAAACATTACTAATATTCATTTCAAGTTTATTGTCTTTACCTTAACCTAAGTACATAATAAAGATAAAAATTTAGGATTAATGATAATTGTATTAGGTTCTAATGACACGATTTATGAATTTTAAATTTACAATTCTCATTAAAATCATAGAAAAAATCAACCATGAATTTAATCTCAAATTAAACCATTTTAGAA